TGAGGTATTAACTCTTGATATTGTTTAACAAAAGTTATCGTTCTTTTTTTTCTTTTTCAAAAAATATTTAAAAGATCATTCTAAATTTACCGTGTTTTCTTCATATTTTTTTAAACTATCAATAGTCCTAATTATCTAAAAAAGAAGAAGGTATAAGTCCAATAATAAGCAACCGATCCAAGACAAAATTATAATGTAAAAAAAAATAGTTGTAGCAAGATTTTCTTTATTATCGCACTCTCAAAAATGTATCTTTTTGTGCAAATCAAATTTGTCACACAATAAAACAAATCGCCAAAAAGTTTGAGTCACTCTACCATATTCTATAATAGCATAAGCAAAATAGAAAGTTTTCATGTCTTGCTATTCTATTTTTTAAATTAACACCTTTGATTTATTATAGACTACTTGCTATTAGGTAATTTTTCTTTTATTTAATCCACATGTACGGTGGACCTTCCTTTTTTTTGAGAAGTTATTTACTTTCACAAACATTTCTACTATATTTACTACTTCTCCCTATAGTTTGAAATAATTATAATTTATATTATTAATTAATAATTTTATATCATATTTTAAGTCAGACCTAGATACATATTTTATACACCTAAATACATGTTTTAGGCTACCAAATACATTGAAATAAGGAGAGAAGACGAGAGAGAACAGGAGGGAGGAGGACGAGACTTGTCAATATATCTGAATCACACCAGATACTAGTGTACTAGTGTGATTCACATGTATCTAGGACATAAGATACATAGGAGAATAACGAGCGAGATAGAAGGGATGTGAGTGAAATTTGTCTATGTATCACAGATACATGTAATTTCACTTGAATACAGTTTATCTAAAAAAAATCACACCTAATTTCGACCTAATGTATCATGAGATACATGTATCTAGACGTATTTGAACATACCAAAATCTGATAAGATTTGTAATATTACAAACTAACGTGTATCTAAGTAATTAACTCCTAAACTAATAGAATTGGTCCACATAAAATTAACTTTTCAAAACTTAAAATAATCCGACCCGACCCGAACCCATAATCCAAATAAACCTTCTTTCACTCTCTTTATTTTCATGGTTTTTTTTCTCTAAATACTCTTCTTTTCTTTTTTCTTTTACCAATATGGAATATTCTTTTAATAGTACATACTACTGTTTTTTACCTTTCTTTTATGGTTGATTCTTTTTAGTACTAAAAATTAAGGCTATGTAGCGTAAGCTATACATAAAGCTATGAAGTGAAAGTTGGGACTTTCTAGATTTGTTACTGTTGTTGTGATTTTATACTTCCTATATATTACTCTATCTATATCTATTATCATGAGTCACTCAAAAACATCTTTCATACAGATATTCTCTTTTTTCTCTCTGCCAAACACAATGTAAAGACTTGTAGAGTAGTGTCATAAGTTATGCTTTAAAGGCTCGTTTGGTATGAGAGATGAGAAATAATTAATTTGAGATTAATTTTAGGATGAGTTTATCTCATATTTGATTGGATTATAGTATTATTTTTATCTCATGTTGAAAATGAGATAACAATTGTAGGTTTAGCTAATTACGGAATAACTTGTTCTCTAATCAAACAAACGTGAAGACATAAATTCAGTGGCTCAAGTTGTGCCCCAAGGCATAAGTTATGTCTTTGGGGTATAATTTGGACTACTAAGACTGATGACTTGGGGAATAATTTGTGCCTTGGGCTTAGTTTCTTTTGCATTCAGATATAATTTGTGTCATACATATATTTTGAAGTATAACTTGTGGCTTGGGCTTAATTCTTCTGTGAGATGCATAATTTGTGTCACTAAACTTAAACTTTGGACATAAATTGTGTCACTAAACCTATGCCCCGAGGCATAACTTGTGTCACTAAATTAATGTCTTGTGAATTTTGTTTTGCCTTGCAATTTTTTATTTTGTTTTTTGCGTTGTCGGGGATATTTTCAGTCATTTTTTTTATATTTGAAATTTTAAGTGATAAAAAATAAAAATCATCAATTTAAAAGGCAAAAAATTAAAGACCAGTCCAAAATAAGGATATTTGTGTGAATGATCCATAATTGTCACAACCAGTCATTCAGTTTAAAGTAGGCCCAAATGATGGCTTAATCAACACTGACTAATAAATAAGGGTAACTTACAAAAATCTCATTAATTTAGAAATTAATTACTTAAATTCATGCTAGTTTGTAATATTATGAATCTTATCAAATTTTGGATTTTGAATACATATGTCTAGCGCGCTCAAATACGTCTAGATACATTTATTTCGGATACATGAGGTTAAAATTAGGTATAATTTGTTCAAAATACACAATTCCAAGTGGAATAGCCTATATTTGACTCTCTTGCTCGTATATCTCCTATATCGCTTGTCACTCTCTTCTCTCGCTCGCCTCTCTTTTCATAATTGGTATTCCAGATACACGTATCTAGTGTGATTCACATGTGTATGGGGATCTCGCTCACCTCCTTCCTATCTCGCTCTCCTCACTCCTTCTCTCGCTCACCTCTCTATATTTTAGTGTGTCTGGTAATAAAAATGCATATATCTAGGTATATCTGATTTGAAATCTGATATAAATAATTAATTAATGAGAATACAATATGTAATTATTTTAATTACACAAAGAATTAGTAAATATAATAGAAATGTTTGTCTATTTGATAGTGTTTTCATGAATCAAGCCAACACTAGCTTAGTGGACTGTGCTAAGAATTTGTTGGCCCATTGAGCCCAAAATCCACCTCCACACTTTTTAAAAGAGAAAATTTAGTAGTGAAATTTTGCAATATTTTAAAATGTAGTAACATGTTTTAATTGTAATTACATATTAATTGTAATTGAGACGTAAATATCATACTAATACATACTTAAAATCATTTTAATAAGCTTTGTTTGGACAGAATAATATTTGGAGAACCTTTTCATTGTTGCAACAGAATTATCCAAATTAGGAAATTGACGAGAGTTAAGCAAGACGAAACTAAAACAAAATATTATTAATGAAGCAAAAGTTAGAAGAAAGATTCTGATTTCTATAAAGGTGGACGTTCGATATTTTTGATTTTTATAATTTCGTAATCGACACAAGAAAATGGGGATAGATATCAAATACTGAACTTTGAAAATTTTATATATTGACAAAATATGTTCATAATTTATCTAACATTTGACATGCTAGTTTTTATATAAACCACGTAAAAATATTAGATCTTCATTCTCAAATCCTAATATTATGAATTTATTGACATAAATCAATTAAGATATGCAAATCACTCGTTAATATTATCCATATTTATGATCAATAATTCATTAAGGGGTCGTTTGGTGTGAGGGATAAAAATAAATAGTGATGTGATCAAATTTTTGTATCTTGTTTGGTTGTCATGTTTGGGATAACTTATCCCACCATTTATATCATAGTGATTGGATAAGTTATCCCAGGATAACTAACCCAAAATAACTTGTTCCCAACCAAACGACCCCTAAGGATAGATATTAGGATCAATACGACTCAATATTTTCAAAATTCAATTTGACAATTCGATAAGCAATGCTAAAAATAAATCATCTCTTATATGTAATCAAACTTCAAATCGATAAATTTTAATTCAATTTTCGATGACTTATGTCCGCCCTTAATCATAGATATATAAACAAAAGAACTAGCAGTAATAAGACACTTGATCATATTAGGTAGCAACATTAAATTTTAGTTTGGTTTAGAAATGAAATAACTGTGCATGGAATCATAAATGAGTGCAGCTTTATTTACAGAGACTTCAAGACACAATTCAGTGCCCACAAGTACTCCATACTTTTTATTTTATTTTTGGACATGCAATATTTATATTAAAATTTGATTAAATATAAATTTATGTATTACATAACTTATTTTTAAAGGTAACACTTTAGACAAGACATTTTATTCCACACAAATTTAAATTCAAATTTTTTAATTAAGAATAAAACAATTCTGAAACCATCCCAATCAGTACCCATGGTGATTACTCCATATAGTTATTAATAGACTGTTTGAATAAAATAAAATAAACATTTATAAACACTTATTTTAATCAAAATAACAAATATAAGTCAATTAAGTTCATATGTATTGTCAAAATGCTAACAAATATATAAATTAAGCAATAATATAAAATTAATTATTTAGATAATGAGGAATTAAATTACTTATACTTTCTTATGATATTTGATGTTAATATGATAAAATTAAGCCTTACAATGCTTAGACAACTTTTAGTACACTTCCTGCCTTAATGAACTATTTCATATGAGACAGGAGTTAAAGCAAGGCCAAGAGGAGGAGAGTAATTTCAGTATATGTAAGTTAAAGTCGAACAACTTATAGTTATCAATTTATTATTTTGTAAAATTTTGTAACTAAATATTAAAATATCAAATCATATCAAATTAAGTTTATATAATATTTTTAAGAATTAAAAAAAATTATAACAACAACAATGACATTGTATCCAATGTAATTCTACAAAGTAGGGTGTGGAAGATAAAGTGTGTACAACCCTTATCATTATCTTAGAGGTAAAAAAACTATTTTCGATAAATAACTCAAGAAAAAGACGGTCCAAAGCAGTATAAAGAAAGAAAAGTTGAAATGTAATTAAAAAAAACTACAAATAATAACCAAATTCAAAAGACAAGAAACTACAAAAAGTAATACAACTAATAGTAAAATAGAACAAACAAGACACCGCTCAACTATTTAACTAACCTCTTATCCTAATTTTTGTTTTTTCATAACCTTTTATTTACCATCATATCCTCCGTAAGTGAAAGTTGCATTATGTCTTGTCTAATCACCTCTCCTCAATGTTTTTTAGGCATATACTTTCACCGTTCTTGAAATCATTCATAGTCAATCTCTTACGACCCCCATGCATCTCCCCTGCACATACTCGAATCACCTTCACATTTTCCTTTTTTTTTAAGCCCTGTTATCAAATCTTGTTTCTTTTGTCTCTCTTCTTGTTTCTTTCTTCTACCTAACACTAACACCATTTTAACTGAAAACTCACATTCTCTTGCCCCTTCATTTTAGGCGGATAAACCGGTGTAAATTTGACAGATCCAAGAGTACAAATTCTTAGGTAAACACTATTATTTTTTTTTGCTGTTTTTGAGCATTTTTCTCTTTTTTACTGACACCCTTTCGTTCTTTGTATGCATTTTTTGAGTTTGTGCATGAAGTTGCTGTTTTGTTACATAAGTATTGTGGTTCTTGATTTTGGGTTTCTTCAGATACCTCTGTTTACTGGTGTAAAAATTTGATCTTTTTTCTTTTCAGCTGTACTTTGCAACAGAAATTCTTAGAATTCATTTGCTTTTCTTGAGAATTTTAGATGATTGTTTCTTGATTTAAGTATTTTTCTCAAAAGGGTGTTGGCTGATTTGGGTATTTAACACTCATTGGAATCTCATTGCTTTAGTGTTTTGCTGTGGCAATATTTAAGGTTGATCCTTTTATCTTTTTCTTAACATTTTATTTCTTGTGTAAAGATTGTCTCTTTTTGCTTTTTTATGGTTTACCAATTTGATGTATTTTGAGAAATCTTGTTTTTTCTGTTATATAGTTAGTTATAGAATTCTCTCTCTTTTTATGGCCTTGTGTTTAGTTCATCTTTTAAATATTTGTTGATTTGTGTTTGTGATTTCACTAGTCAATTGCTTACATTTTCACTTCTTCTGGATCTTGTTTATCATGTGTTGAAATTATAGCTGTTGATTACCCAAATTTCTGAGCTTTGTGCCTCTTTCAAGCATTGAAGCAATGAGATAAAATAGGTTTATTATGATGAAAGAATCTTGTCCTGAATATATCTCATTACTTTTGCAGCAAATCAAGAGCTAAGATGGAGAAGAGTTTTGAGTTTCGTCGATGGGATGAATTGATTCCTGATGCACTTGGGCTAATATTTAGAAACCTTTCACTTCAAGAGGTATTAACTATAGTCCCAAGGGTGTGCAAGTCATGGGGAAAAGCAGCAAAGGGTCCTTATTGTTGGCAAGAGATTGACATTGAGGAATGGAGCAAAAATCGATGCCCTGATAACCTTGATCGGATGCTTCAATTGCTTATTACAAGAAGCTGTGGCTCTCTGCGTAAGCTTTGTGTTTCCAGTCTCTCTCGCGACTCAAGCTTCTCATTCATTGCAAACAAGTTAGTACATTATCAGTCTTGATAGTATTTCCATCTCTCAGCTACTGCAGTAGTCTATAGTACATTTAAAGTTGCACATCGTTTTAAGATACTGTACTTCAAGATCAAGTGAGTTAGTATAGAGTTTCAGAATTGATGTGAATGAACTTTGAGATTGTTGGTGATTTAGATGGAGTTATGTGAGCTCTTCATCTAGCAGTAAAGACCATGACATTATTTGTCTAATCCCTTCTCTGTTTTGCTTGCAAGTGCCAAATTTCTGCAGATGTTGCGGTTGCCAAAAAGTGAAATAGGTGATTCCGTTGTGGAACAAGTTGTGGGAATGTTCACGAACATTACATTTTTGGATGTAAGCTACTGCTTAAAAATAGGAGCCAGAGCCCTTGAAGCTATAGGGAAGCATTGCAAATGTCTCACTGGTTTGCGTCGAACAATGCATCCCCTTGAGGTTATTGGCAAGCTATCCCAAGACGATGAAGCCTTGGCGATATCAAGTACAATGCCAAATCTCAAGCAACTCGAGATTGCCTACATGTTGGTTGGTACAACAAGCATAATTGAGGTACTTCAAAACTGCAGATGTCTTGAGCTACTGGATGTAAGAGGTTGTTGGAATGTGAACCTCGATGATGATTTCATGAAGACATTCCATCAGCTAAAGGTGGTTGGTCCGATTGTTGTAGACTGCTATGATGGGAATGGCTGGGACAATTGCTCTGACTATTCAAGTTCTTCTGGCTATGTACGGTGGGATTTTGTGGCTGGTGATGTGGACGATGATGACTTTGATGAGATGTCTGATGTGTATTGGGAGGATGATCAAGTTATTGAGGATGTCGAAATGTGGTTTTATGATGACTTAAATGTTGTGGACTCTGGATATGATTGGCCGCAATCTCCTTGAGGTTTGACGATCAAATTCTTACTTATTCAATTTCCAGAAGTTCTAAAAATTGTACTACCCTATATATGAAAGTTAGCCTGCTTTCTACAATGTATAAATGTGAATTCTGTCTTGTGTACCTTTTCCTCTTTTCTTTTTCTGTTCTATTACATTCCTGACTTTCTGTACTTACCTATCTATTCATATATAACAAAGATTCCATGCGTATATTCATCTCATCTGTCTAAGCACAGCCTTGATGGATAGAGTTATCTGATTCTTGTGCTGGTGGGAGGTACCTAGTATCCAGTGGAATACTCGAGGTGCACTCAAGCTTTCCGGTCACTACTGTCACGAAAAAATTGTGAAGTGAAAGCTAGAATCCAACAAGGTCTACCAGCATTTGTCTAAGTGATCTTCCAAGGCCCTCAAGAAGAGATCCCTAACGAAAAGTGTGCTGAAACATTGTTGACCCTGTTTGTTCAGAAGAGAACTGTAATCCTCAATAACATGTGAGTGATACAAAATTATCCGGTATCTGTGTTGGAGGAAGCATCCCCTACAAGATTGTTTCACGTTCCCTCAAGTCTCAAATCCGAGACCTCTGATTTAGAGGTGAAGGAATCCTTAGTGGCAAAAATTTAAAGACCAACTCAAAACAGTTGCAGCAGAAATGCTCCAAGTAAAATGTATTATCAAATCGGTAAATGCTTCCAGAATACTAATACAGAAGGGACTTCCCTAAAAATCACATGCAGATGAAGGATACCTAAACTTATGATAGGCAATGGCTATAATGTCTCAAGCAAAATCTAGTTGATACAGTATCATGATCTTTTATGATTAAAGTGACTGCTTGAATTAGATTTTGTAGCAGCATATCGCATGGTTTAATAGTAAGGCATGTACCGTGAAGCCCTCCTGAATCTTGGAACTTTCCTGCAAAATGCGAAACAATCATACGTGTGATTCATCTACTTGATTGTCGAGGCGAGATAATCAACTGAATCAAACTTACCCATATCCATAAGGAGAATAGAAATAAGGGGCAGGTGCATATGGCCTTCTGAATCCGTAAGGTTGATAAGGACTGAAACGTCTAGGGTGAAACTGTTTCATCCCTGGTACATTAGTCCTCTTGGGCATAACCTGCAATAGAGGGAAAATCACAATATGAACACATCAAATAAGAAAAGACTCAGTGGAAACACCGTATTAGTGTGTCATAGATAATATGGCATTTGCTTGCAAAATCAGAAAACTAAAACTTCATAAAAGTGCCCGAGTAGTTTGGTTTGACTGATTGAACAACAACCATATCCTCCCTTTAAGCTACTACTCCAATTAGGGTCAATTTGGCTCTTCAATTCGGTTATTTAAAACTTTGGTTTTTGATTCTTCGCTGATATATACTGAACCTAAATTGGTTCGGCTCTTTGGTATGACCTCATATTTAATCATAATACTTATACAAAACCACATAATCTAAATAGAGAACATAAAAGATTTTACAGTTGAACAAATTAGACAAACTCGCCTATTAGAACATTATAATCGACGTACAGTGCTGCAGTTATAACTCAATTGAAAGGGTCATCTATAGACGTAAGTTAAAGGGAATTAGCATGTTTTTGATTCTTCGCTGATATATACTGAACCAAAATTGGTTTGGTTCTTTGGTATGACCTCATATTTAATCATAATACTTATACAAAACCACATAATCTAAATAGAGAACATAAAAGATTTTACAGTTGAACAAATTAGACAAACTCACCTATTGGAACATTATAATCGACGTACAGTGCTGCAGTTATAACTCAATTGAAAGGGTCATCTATAGACGTAAGTTAAAAGGAATTAACATCCTATGAGGTAGTGTTCACCTTCCGGCTTCTACACAACTTATGCCGGATAACTTGATTCCTGCAAAACTTATGCCGGACAAGACAAAAATTTCTAAACTTGTGCCTTGTGAAATTAGGTCATGGATAAGCGTACTTTGGTCCACAATTTTTCATTAAATGAGCAGCAGGCGCAAAAAATAAAGACCACTTCAAAATAGGGGTAATCCGTGCAAAAACTTCTTACATGATCTGTATGCAGAATTGGGTATTTGGGTTTGGTCTTTTTGGGCTCAAAATGTGTATAGTATATATTTTATAATTATATAAAAATAATTCGGTATTTTGGTTAAACCCAAATACTTCAACTTCAAAACCGAAACAGGACCGGAGAACCGAATCAATTCGGTTCGGTCCGGTTTTAATGCCCACCCCTAACTCCAATCTTATTTTTAGTCGAGTACTGTAATCCACATATATGCTACTGTAGCAAACCACAATCAGTTTATGTGTTTTAGGTCTGACAAGACAAGGATCAGCAAGGTACAACAATTAAATGACAGATTTACTCTAAGACAGATTGTGTATTGTCACAACCTGTTCAGTATGTCCCAAGTCCTTTAGTGCAGAGCCTTCCGTGTTTATATATCTCACCTCCCACCAACAAACATGACATGACATGGTTGATAAAGAGAAACTACTCTATTCAAATAAAAGATGAAAAAAATAAGTTCACCTTCAACTGGCGTCCATGCAGTTCTGACTCATTCAGCTGGAGCGCCTCCTGAATAGCTTCTTGTTCCACGAATTCCACATACGCAAAACCTTTAGGTTGACCAAACTTATCAGTCAGGATGGTAACTCGATTCACAGTACCACATGCCTGGAAATGCTGCTGAACTTCTTCTGGGGTACATGCATAATCAACCTGTCACATGAAATTTATTAAACACGATATGGTAACTGCAAGTGACAATGAAATAAGGAATTCAACACTTCAGTCTTCATGGAAAGCTAGAATTCTTCATCTATTTTATGGTTAAGTTTTGCAAAACCTATGATCCCAAAGATAATGATATTATAGTATAATACACATCCGGATATCAACACATAAAGGAAGAGAAACAATTTTGTGCCCCAACACCTTCCAAACAAGAGAAAGATCATCCAGCTCAGCACACTTAGCTTTCCTGGCTTTACTAAGGTTAGACACAGAAAATATTTTCCATTTTTCTTGCTGTAAAATCAAATTTTGCAACTAAAAACGACTTCAATGCTCTAAAAGGATCTAAAAGGTGGTTTCAAGAAAAACTTTCATCAATCAATTACAAGTCCAAAGGATAATTCTCTCGTCGGCCAAACTTTGGAGTCAAAATGTTGACGGTCCTCATTTACATCCTAAACAAACAAGAAATACTCCTTACCCTCGTTCTTTCACCCCAATGAAAAATAGTGTAGGTACAAATGGAAACTGACTGCCGATCACCATAGAAGCACGACAAGAACAGATCATATAGTTCAAGAATGATAGTTTTGGTAGCCGTAGAAGAAATAAAAGATAAGGCCGAAGGCAAAGTAATGACACCTCACCATATCAGGCTTAATAGCTAGTCAAATCTGAATACTCACGTCCACCAGCTGCCTGCAGCAACCAGACTCGGCAACTAGAATTTGCATGCCGATGAAAAGGGTTTGCACTTCATAGGCAAATGTATCTTTCTTCTTGCAAGAAGGTCGAAACTTGAACCTAAGGTGAAAGTACTTTTAACAACAAAAAAAAATGATTTTGTGGTTTCCATTTTGTCATACTTTTTCTTTATCTCTCACTGCGGAATTGTCTTTCAATTCCATCTTTTTCCCAGTGGAGCTTCACAATATTTTTTTTTTCATGCTTTTTATCTTCTTTCTAATCTTTTTCTTTTCTTTTCTTTTTTCTCTTTTCTTTTTTTTTCTATTTCTTTTTTTTGCTGAATTGCTGTCTTTCTTATTCAAACTTTTCAAAAGTCAACATACAGGTAAAAATGCCTCTTAAAAGAAATATCTAAAATCAGAAAAACTTCTTCCACCATCAAAAACTTATGGTGCCAGCGCTATTCAGAAATATGAATGCACCTGCGATTATAGTGACAGAAAGTCAAGGCATGACTCTCAAGATGCATCAAAGTCAAACCAAAACAAAGAGATCATCAGAAAGAACCAAATATTCCTTACAATTACAAAAAGGAAAAAGACAATTACACCAAGAAGTTTGGACATTGCAACAGAAGAAACAAAAAAAAATGGTGCATGATGCAAGTTAAGATCAAGTTCTATATTTTCAAGCATAACAATAAACGAAGCTTTCAACCATCAATACAACCTCCCCAAACAAGATGACCACCCCTCACATTTTCGATATTCATGTTCTAATACCACATTCATAATGAAATGGGTCAAGACACTGCAACTTTATAGAGCCAGGAAACATGAACTAGGAATAAACATGCTTCCAACGCTTCCAAGGGAAATGCGGTGTATTACTTCTTTTATATCAGTAGATGTAATGAAAAAATATATATGCAATCCTTCAAGAATACCAACAGCTTTCAGTAGGGAAAAGATTTCCCCGACTATAGTGGAACTAGAATGTACTTTGCCCAAATGTACTACAGTTTAGTACGACCTCCACCCCAAAATAGAATTTGGTTTGTTTAGCTCCAAATTAAGAGAAAATTTTGACTAGATCATTATACGAGTCGCATGGAGATGTGTCTAATTGACAGGTTGAATATGGGAGGAAAAGAGCACTTGATTGAAGGATTGTCATATAAAATTAAGATGCTTAAAAGAAAAGTTATTTAATTTGAACTTGGAGAAGGAAAAATTATCATTTAAAAGGAAGTTTACTTGTCACAACGACAAGTAATTAATTAAGAAAAACTTGATCCTTTAACCACCAAAGTACTTAAAGCCTCCTAACTGAAAAACTTCAGAAGCAGGCTTTGCAGAGCGGGAAGGAGAAGTACCACATGATACTAGTCATCTACCATTACATTCCATAAGTCTAAACCCTTGGTTGACTCATTCTAAGATTCAACCCAAAACATGAATCTAAGGTTCAAATCTGTCAAAAATTAGCTCAACTCATATACTAATATTATCATTCATGCTCATTCCTCATTTTAAACTCTCAAGTATTAATATGCACGTCTCAAATAGTAATAAAAAATAGCAAGTAGAACACATGGTGACATCGATACCTTGAAATATAAGCTAGTAGTGATTACACTTATTATGGTGTTGCTACTTTTAATCTGCAAGAATTTTTCTTGTGAAATCAACTCTCAATTTCTCCTACCAAGCTTTCTTGGTGTCAGTAATATGGAGGGCAAAGAGTTCAAGTAGATTCCTCCTTCGGCCCCACATTTCATATTCACTATGTGAAGTGGAGTTGCCTAATATAATTCTTGTGTGTCATAATCTGATCCTCCTCTTCCTTCCTTCAGCGTGAGGCTTAGCGTGGGTTAAGTTATCAATTATTTTATATATGCAAGTATTTCCACCCTCACGACTAAGTGGATACTTATTTTCCCGCTTACAAATATCATAGTTTTATCTCCTTGTATATATATGATAGGAAATGGTTTATTTTTCATTTCTTAAGTCCTTTAACCCATGCCTGATCTTTCCAACTCAACTCCAAGGCATATCCGACATCCATATAGATACATTTTCAATTTATAACACATAAATAAAATCCATTACCATATTTATCATCAAATTAATGTGTTCAAGCCTTAGAAGCACCAGCTTTTTCAGGGGCTTCACAACATGTAAACCTATGACATGTGGAGGAAGCTGTTAGAGAATTAACTTGCCTCTCATCGTTTGTGTAAGAGGTTTGGGTTGGAGGCTCAGATTCTTTTCAAGATCCAACATTCATCCCTTGCCAGAAACCATGGTCTACTGACATAGGTATGCCAAAAGAGAAAAAAGAGACAGTGTAGCATAGGCTTATGCAATATAAAATATGCACTTGCACGGCAAATTAAAAGTCACACTACATAAACAACCTTCTTCTGCATACAGATTCATACTTTTATTAAACAACGGGACTATCAAATATACAACAATTATTACTACTGTGCATCAAAACCAAACAATTGATATCTGCTACGAGTATCTTCTATATCCATTTCCCTCCATTTGGACCTGCTTAATTATACTATTCAAAAGGTGTAACACGAGCCTAGGTAAGTATATCATAATATATTCGATATTGTGAGGATTTATAAATTAACTAATTTTAATTTGGTTGTCAGCCTACCACAACGTACATTTATCTATGCTTGGAATTAGCCATGTGAGCAAACTAACAAGGCAGAGTTCAAATTATCAAATTTGATCAACAAAATCAGTTCCACCGGAAAATCAAACAAATCACTTAAGAATACACCAAGTTATCTGAAAACATTCTTGAATCAAGTAGAGCACTTCTCCAAGAATTCAATCACCAAATAGAAACAATAGATTTTAGTTCTTACATTGCCAACAAATATTGATCTTGAATCCACCTCCTCGCGGTTTGCCTGGGATGCATCTGCATTAGCAGGATCTGCAAAATAAATGGTTCCGAAAACATTTAATCCATTTTAAAAAATAAAACCTCTTATTAAAACTGGTACCATTAACTCAGAAAATAGAACTTCAACAATAATTAAGAAAAAAAATTGTCCCCCGAACTTGGTTCAATTGCCAAAGGTTGAGGGACTTGTGACTAAAAACGGTTCGAGCCTTGCACCAAGAGAACTACGTCCGGTATTTATGGGCCCATATCCCCAAGTTTCAAGGACTGCGGTCCTAAGGGTCGACTTCAGACGGATATCAGTGTTAGGTTATAGAAAATTTTAAGTCTAGACTAATCACAACCAATTACTGGTAGAAATGTATACTTTAAGCCTCATTGACAATTCCTGGCTTCCCGCAAGTTTAGTGGTACTACAACTGATAAACTAGTCTTTACAAAATATTGAATCTTTCGTTTCCATTATGTAATGTTTTATTGCATTTCCAAAGACAAACAAAACTTGATCATTGTTTTGGGTAACGTTTGATCAGTTACTATGGCAAACTCTACCAGACGTTTCATCAGTTACTGTGGCAAACTCTACCAGAAAAGAAGCATCTTTTCATAGTCTCTTACAGACATATTATTTAGGGATTTAACATAAAAAGATTGTTCAACTTCTAAGGATAGTATAGTAACTGTCACAGACCCTAGCAGAACAAAGCATCCTTACTTAGATCCCAATAACCCAAATATCACAACTTTTTAAGGAAAATGTCAGAATATTAAACCTACAACCACTTCTTAACAAGCCAACAAACATTCCCATAGTAGATTAATAGGATTTCAAGCATTGACACCAAATTATAGAAAAGCAGGGGCAGAGCCATGATTGAGCTTACGGGTTTGGTAGAACCTAACGCACACCTTTTATTTGTGTTATAAAAAGAATTTATCCATATCCTAGTAAATTGCTTCTCTACCTCCACAAGGCAGAGGTAAGGTCTACCTACACTCTACCCTCCCCAAACCTCACTTGTGAGAAAGCACTGGGTATGTTGTTGTTATCCTAGTAAAATTGCATTTTCCAAGGGGCCGTAAGGCGTTTGGCCATGAAATATTTTTACTTCTTTCCGGAGTAAAACACATTTGGTTATAACATTCCTGAAAATTTTGGAATTTAACTGTTTTCACGAGGCAGAGGTTAAATCTGCCTACACTCTACTCTCCCCATACCTCACTTGTGAGATTTCACTCAGTATGTTGTTGTTATCCTAGTAAATTGCATTTTCCAAGGGGGCATAAGGCGTTTGGCCATGATTTTTCTTACTTATTCCAGAGTTAGAACTCCAGAAAACACATTCGACCATAAATTCCTGATAGTTTCAGAACTCAATTGTTTTTACCTTTTCAGATACTTTAAGAACACCAAAAATGCTTTTTTCACTCCAAATTACTCACAAAAATTCAAAAACAACCCTAATTTTCAAATATCATTTCATTTTGAAAACAAAAACTAATCTCAAAATTCTAGCTCCGCCTCCTCCGCATAGAAGAAAAATATAGTAATCAAGCAAAAGAAAAAGTGAATTCTTTTTACCTTGAACAGAACCCATCTCTTTCTCAACTTTGGCCTGCATCTCACGTAAAGCAGCAGCTTCATCTTCCATCTCTTTCAATCGTTTCTTCATCTCATCCAATTCCTTCAAATTTCACAATTCCAATCTCATTAGATCCAATGCTAATTAGGGTTTTTCTTTTATCACATGAAAAAAAGATATCATACAACAATGTAACAGAGTACCTTAACGGCATCCTCGTCGGCGGCAGGATGATTGTCCATATCAGCTTCCATTTCAGCCTCCATTGGGATTTCTCCACCGTAAACTTCATGCTCTTCTTCATCCATTTCTCTCTCTCTCTTTCTCTGCCGCAACTCCTTTTTTTTCTTCCCTAAATTGTACACTCTAAACCCATATACGGGGCGGCCCGACTTCGTTTTGATGTTTTTTTATTTTTATTTTTTTTCCTTTTATATAAAAGTACAATTAGTATAGTATACGGCTATACGCGATGCCTGGATACGTCCCTCTCCTTTCGGATACATTTCTATCCGTTTTCGAATACATTCATGATTATGTCTCCGTAAGTTTACTGATGTATAAGACATCGTATAATTTTAAAGATTTTTTGTAATTTAAAAAATATAATGTAATTAGCTTTTAATACTATGAGATTTATGTAAGTTTTTACTTATTTAATTAATATTATAATCACTTCCTATTTTTCTTTTTAGTATAATCATATGATATTTGGAAGGATAAAATTCAAATAATCCACTTTTTAATCATATGTTTGGAATTTTTAATTTCAAATATGAAATTCTAAGTCA